TATGTTTCTTTTAAAAAATACACTGTATATTAGATGACAAAAAAATTTTGTTTTATAGTTAAACTGATTTACATTATAAAATATTAATTATTTGATAAAATTAAATTTTTTAATACAAATTTTTTTAATTAAATAATTTTTAATTTATTATTTAAATCAATATAAATCATAAAATAAGATTTTTCAAATAAAAATAGTTGTACTTAACAAGAGGCTTGAATTTGGGCCCCTCTTCATACTTTTTGCCTGGAAGCAGGTGTTGACCACAACGCCATTTCTTTCAAAACAGAACAAATTGAATTTCTGTTCTTTTTCCCCTTGTCCTTGAAGTTAAAATACTTCATCCACGCGGTTCCAAGTTTTTCAACTCATACAATAAAATTTTACTCTCATGCATTAATTAATTATTTTAATTCTTTGAGACACATGAATTGATGTGCATTCAAATATTTAATTTTATATAATTATTGTAAAATTTTATTCCTAACAAATATTGTGAGTGATTCAAACTCCATTTAGTTTATCTTTTTCTATTCACTTGTAATATTAGTTTAACACCATATTAGAAATATAGTTATTTTCACTTATAAAAATATTAAAATCACCCAAAATTTTTAATTTTTATCTTTTAAAATTTTTTAATTTAATTAAATTAATAAAAAAATAAATAATTAATTATTATTTAATATATATTTATATGATCTGAATATATTATTATGTGACAATAACCACAATCTTGTATTAAGACCATAAAGTGATTAGCTTAAAATAAACAAGTGTTTAAAACCACTTTACTACTTGGTAGTTAAGACAAAAAAACAAAAGTAAGAAAAAAAGAGAAAAAAAAGTTTTGTAACTTATATAAAAACTATTATTCATTAAATAAAAGAGCTCATGATATTAGAGAATGGTATTTTATTTTAAAATTGATATTTTTCGTTTGAATTAAAGAAAAAAAAGCTGAAATTAAGTCAGCATTAGAGAAAAAATTGTGCAGCAAAGGAAGACTTAGATTGGTGGCCGAAAAAAAAAGAGGACTTAGATTAAAAATATCTGACAATGCAAAGCAAAACAAAGGAGGTTGCCAATTCATGTACGAACCACCGAAAGTCAGAATGTGAGAAAATTAAAACCACTAAAATAAGAAAAGTACCGAAAAAATTCTACCGACTTAGTGACGTAATAAAATAATTTTAAATTTTTTTATTATAATAAAAATTTAATTTCTTTTGTTACCGTCTCTCCTCTCAACTACTTGCCTTAATAATAATAATAATAATAAAAAGAAAAGTATCATCTTCGATTCTATGAAATATATATGTATATATTTGCATTAATTCAATAGTTTGGCGCAAAAAAAAAAAAAAAAAAAAAAAAGCCCAATAATTAAGAACACAAATGTTTCAATTGGTTTCCTGTCATCCCAGCATCAGAGTTGGAAATCACAGGAAAATTCATTACTGTCAGTCGTCAGATGAATAAAAGCATGAGCTTTTGATCAGCAAAAGTCACATCCCATGCCCCACCAAAATCACTCCTTTCATTGTCAAAATCTACGGTGCCTGATGAGGCTGTGACCATCTTATGTTCACAGTCTCAAATAATATATTTATTAAAATATCACAATAAATTTTATAAATCAGTTATTAAATATATTTAATATTGTAATAATAATTAAAATTTGAGTTATCTTATTTTTTTTTGAACAGTTTCTATATCTTATTTTTAATTGTATTTGTTCAAAAAAAATATATATTAAAATACAAAACCCTGAAACAGTAATTTGTCCTATTGTTGTAATAAGAAGAAACAAGCTGTGAACCAAATTGGATCAGTACGTCTTTAAGTTGGCAACTTGGCATTGGATTTAAATTGGATACCCTTTTAAAGTTGCAGGGTGCCACAGAAGGCTTACTGTATGAAGTGACTGGAGGGACAGAACCTCCTGCCTTTCAAATCTATCTTAGAGGCCCTGTCAGTGTAAAACCAAAGCTACCCAGTTTTGGTTTTTTGGTCATCTGAGCCTATTCCTATTTAGCTTGTATATTTCTTTTAACACCTTCACTAGATTCATGCTCATTACAGTCTTCTCATTTCAGTAGTTGGTAAACTATTTATGAGTTTTGCGGATAAATGAAAGTTCGTGATCTTAATGGGTTTAATGATCTGGTTTTCCCCGTAGGGTTTAAGGGGGTTTAGAAAAAAGGAAAAAGAGAGACAGGAAAAGATAAAGTTGTGGTCTTTCTCATTTACACAGATCCCTATGGAATGAAGGGGAGCTCCCCCAGCATTGTATGTGCTGGTGTGTTCATTCTTTTTGTTTAGTTTAAAGTTTTAAAAGAGAGCAGAGTTGTTTGTGTGCTTATGTGTGTGTGAGAAAGAGAAAGTTGCATAGATTAAAGAGTTCTTTGTTCTTGTAGAGAACAAAAAACCATGTTTTTAGATTGAGGGATGCAATAGATTTTGGTATGATTAGCTTATTTTTTGTTCAATGATTGAGTCCCCTGCTCTAGAACTTGTGTAAGGAAAAAAAAAGTAAGAGAGTAGGAGAAAATGAAGAGTTTGAATGATAGTAACAATGGCAGCAGTAGTACTTGGTTGGGTTTTTCTCTTTCACCTCATATGAAAATGGAGGTCCCTAGTGATCATCATTCCCAGCACCATCATCAGCAAACAACAGCTTCTCCTTCCACAGCCGTTCCTCCTAGCTTCTACTTGTCTTCTCACCTCAACAGCTCCGGAATCTGCTATGGAGTCGGAGAAAATGGTACCTTTCATGCTCCGTTGTCTGTTATGCCACTAAAATCAGACGGGTCCCTATGCATCATGGAAGCACTTAGTAGATCACAAACAGAAGGTTTGTTCTGTTTTACTTTTTCTGGGTAGTTTAGTTCCTCTGCTTTCAATCATTGTTCTAAAAGTTTCAATGTCTTTCTTAATTTTTTTGGTACTTTTTAGGGATTGTGCCAAATTCATCCCCCAAACTGGAGGATTTTCTGGGTAGTGCAACAATGGGGACTCATCAATATGAAAGCCATGGAAGAGAAACAATGGCTCTGAGTTTAGACAGCATGTATTACCACCAAAATGCAGAGCAGGAAACCAACCGGCACAACTCCCTGGACCTTCTTCAAGATCCATTCCGGCATCAAGACCCAGCCTTTTCCGTTCAAACCCACCCGTATTACTCCAGCATGCCTTTCCAGATGTATCAACCTCCATTAGAAGATGAAACCAAAAACGCTGAGCTCACAGACTGTGACTCCCAAATCCCTCAAATGGGGGAAGACGCCATGCCCTGTTTGAAAAACTGGGTTAGTAGACACTACTCTGTTCATGCTCCCCTGGACCAGCAAATGAACAATGTCTTGGTCGAGGAGGGTGGAGGTTCTGGCTCTGTTGGTGCAATGGGTTGTGGGGATTTACAGTCCCTGAGTTTATCCATGAGTCCTGGTTCTCAATCTAGCTGCGTCACCGCCCCACGGCAGATCTCACCCACCACCGCAGATTGCTCTGCTGTGGAAACGAAGAAGAGGGGAGCTGGAAAAGTGGGTCAGAAGCAGCCTGTTCATCGGAAGTCTCTTGACACATTTGGGCAGAGAACATCTCAGTACAGAGGCGTCACAAGGTCAGTCCTTTATTGGTTCCTTTTTTCCTTTTTCTTTTGAAAGAAAAATTTCTTATTGATTCATCATGAATATTCATCCAACTAATCTTTTGTCGGAATGCTGCCTGCAGACATAGGTGGACGGGAAGATATGAGGCTCATTTGTGGGATAACAGTTGCAAGAAGGAGGGGCAAACCAGAAAAGGGAGACAAGGTTTGTAAGAGAAAAATGAAACCTCAAAATACATTTTGGAAGTATTCTTTTTTTATTACAATTTTTGGTACAATTACATGTGCTGACTCTCTGTATTAATTGTTTCTTGGCATGTTGAATTCTTGTGGATACCATTTGATGCTGAACTGATGGTGTTTCAGTTTATTTGGGTAAGCATTCTTTCCCATGTAAACTAACCACATTTTGTTCATAATCTTGGTTTTGGCTTTTGAATTAATATAATCTACAAAAATGAGTGTGTAGGGGGTTATGACATGGAAGAGAAAGCAGCCAGAGCTTATGATCTTGCTGCCCTTAAGTACTGGGGACCTTCAACTCATATAAATTTTCCGGTAAGTCTAGCACTATTTGACATTGTTGCTCTCTTTGATTATTTCGTTAGTTCACTCAAAATGTTAATGGAAGTACTTTTGCTTTGGATAGTTGGAAAATTATCGAGAAGAATTGGAAGAAATGAGGAACATGAGCCGCCAGGAATATGTTGCGCATCTAAGAAGGTTAGTTCCTTGATTGACATTGTTATATGTTCTGTTTTGAGTTATCTGTAGGATACATACAGTCTAATTATTGAATTAATTTGCAGGAAAAGCAGTGGCTTTTCCAGAGGAGCCTCAATGTACAGAGGAGTTACCAGGTTCTTCATTGCATTTTCAAACACCTAAAACCTCTTTATTTTTTGCTATTGTTCTTTCAGTGCTGATAATCCATTTTTTGATTTTTTAACTCAAGGCATCATCAGCATGGGAGATGGCAAGCTAGAATTGGCAGAGTTGCAGGGAACAAGGATCTTTATCTCGGAACGTTTAGTGAGTTCTATTTTTTTTTCTCCCTAGAATCTGTAATCTTTGCTGTTCTTTTTTCTATTTCTATTTCACTTTTAAAATTATTCTCTAGCTTTTACATGGGGATAAAGAATTTTCAAAAGACTCAATTTTCTTGACGCCCCTGCATTTGGGTTTCCACTAAAGACGAGAAATGCTTTTCTAAGGCTGTTTTCTTCTCGCATGATCTGATAAAGAAGATGAGAAAAGAAAAGAATTCCGTACACAATATATAATGGTTAACTAAAGCTGTTTTTGAATTTGGCATCTCTAGGCACTCAAGAAGAAGCAGCCGAGGCATATGACATTGCTGCGATTAAGTTTCGTGGAGTGAATGCTGTGACTAACTTTGACATTACAAGGTATGATGTTGAGAAGATTATGGCAAGCAGTACGTTGCTTGCAGGGGAGCTTGCTAGGAGAAACAAGGAGACAGAATCGAGCAATGAGGTTATTGAGTATAACACACCATCACAGAACAATGGGGAAGCTCCTCACCTTGAGAATAACAATGTGAATGGCTCAGGCTGGAAAATGTTGTACCAACCTCCCCAACAGCAACAACAGCCAAATGTAGGTTCTGTTGAATCTCTTGATCAGAAACCTATGAACACTGGAAATTATCGGAATGCAAGTTTCTCAATGGCCCTGCAAAATTTAATTGGGATTGATTCAGTGAACTCTAACCAAGCTGTGTTGGATGAATCCACTAAGCAACTAGGAACTCAGTTTTCAAATCCTTCCTCCCTGGTGACTAGCTTAAGCAGCTCAAGGGAAGGCAGCCCCGATAAAACTGGCTCTTCAATGCTCTTTGCCAAGCCTCCACTAGCATCAAAGTTCATCTGCCCAAACCCTGGTGTCAGTTCCTGGTTCCCAACATCCCAGTTAAGGCCTACTGCAATCCCCATGGCCTCTCACTTGCCAGTTTTTGCTGCCTGGAATGATACCTAAACCAAAAGATGTACGGAGTTTTGCATGAGCCAGAGAGGAAGGATGAAACGAAGTGGGGTTAGGCACAAAAGGCAGATTGGATGGATTAAGATTTTTGTCATGTCTTACTTTTGGTGTAGTTAGTGGGAAAAATTGAGGGGGGAGGGGCCAATTATGTCTGTTGCTAAAAGTTCATTGAGCTTTTTTTCAAAACTACCCTCTTGAATCAAATTAGAATCAATCAAGATTTAAGCACAATGTGGAAAATTGGCTAATATATATTTACATCATTAGCAAATTATATAAACGGAGTTCGCCCTCTTTTTTCTATCATGCGTCACCTTGCTTGGATGCTATCATGACTCAAACTTAACTAGAACTCAAGATCTCTCGATCTCTTTTATGAAGAAGAGTACCATCCCACCTGTCAAGGTTGTTTAGCTAAAACCTGCATAATTGAAATCTGCTTTTATAAATTTTTTTCTACTTTGTTAGGGATCCTGCAAAGTACAAAAACCAACACAATGTTTCCCAATAATGGAAAAGTGGCTTATTTTGACCACAATATTATCTCCAATCTGCATTACACCATCATTACAACACAAGCTTTGCTCAAAGCAAACAGACATTCCCACTCCATTATTTCAAAAAGGGTGGCTCCAAGATTCTTCAATGAAAGACTTTATATATTTAAGACTTTAATCATGATTAGTTAAGAATTTGTCTGATGTTAACTCTGTAAAGACACAAGTAAATTGTGGTTAAAAGTTGCTTTAGCTTTTCTCTTCTTTTTTTTTTTTTTTTCCCAATTGTTTGATGTAAAACCAAAAGATAAAGATTTGTGTCGAGGGAAAAAAGTGATTCCATGTCCTGGCATGCACACAACTATTAAGAAATCATTATCAAAACACATACTGTTAATGTAATTGAGAGAAAATCAGAAATCCCTCGTGTGTATGGTCGGATGCATGTGGGAGATGGATTGTAATCTTGACTATTCCGGATGCCAAAAATCATGGGAGTCCGTCCATGAATAATGCACGCCGCAGAAGCTGGAATTTTTTGTTATCCTGTTTTCTAATGGACCGCAGGAGGAAACTAGACTTTTCCATGATATATAAGTTCCAGTTCTCATTTATTTAGAGACCATATGCATTATCTTTCCTGAATTCACTGCAGAACCGAACCAATCCTACACTTTTCCGTCCTGATAATGGAAAACATCGCAATTTCAAGATTCCTATCGGATTTGTCTCTAAAAAACGGTTAAATACTAATTGTAGTCCTTAAAATTTTGCTTTGAATACTTTTGGTCCCTAAACTATTTTCAATACTTTCTGAGTCCCTCCACTTTACAAAATATGCTTTTTTATCCTTTGATCAGTTCACAGTTCACACAACTTTTTTTTTTCACAGCACCCTATTTAAAAATATAAATCTGTTATTAATAATTGATTTTAATTAATATTTATATGTTTTTACAATAAAAAAAAAAAGTAAAAAAGCCTACAACTACAACACAATATTCTTCATTAACAAAAGATTTGACGAATTGGTAACTACTAATTTAAAATTTTTAATTTAACGTCATCGTCAAAAATTTAAATCTTTATGATATTAAATAACTAATTCTTTAATGTATCAAAAAAAACAACACAACATCCTCCAATGAAGGCCAAGTCATATGCAGTTGTTAACATATTTTAAAATAGTTTAAGGACTAAAATTAGTATTTAGCCCAAAAAAATTCAATGTTGTATGAAGTAGGGTAAAAAAAAATGTAAAGAGATTGATTGGACAAGGGAAAGAAGAAGGAAGAAAATATAAAGGAAAGGACACAGACAAAGAAACCATAACATAATGAAGAAAAGGTTACAGTGGGAAGATTGATGGTCAAAAAGGTAGCAACTCTCATGGAAAACAGATTGCAAAGCAAACAGGGTACCTCTCATTTTTAAGGAAAAAAGTGAAAAACACCCGCATCAATTTCTTGGAAGCTCTGAGTTTAGTCAACAAACATGATTGCAATTCTTGTTGTTTACAGATTGGACCCCAAAGAAAAAGCATATTGCATCGCATCAATCCCAGCATTTGTCCCACGAGCTTGACCTTGAACTTGATAAGTTATCTTTAATTAATATTACCCTAAATTAGTTTATATGTACTTGTGTAGTAAACGCATTAAGTCTATATATCCTTCCTTACGTATTACTGAGTTGAAAAACTTCTGCTTTCTAAATTAAAGGAGGCTCTTATTGTATAGACCCAAAAAGTAAAGGTAGCTGCAGAGTATATGGACAATACTTGTTAATGGTCCAAAGTAGGCTAGCTAATCAAAGCAATAAATGGTCCCAGGACCGGGGCCAGAGCCAGGGCCAGGGCCAGGACCAAAAAGTCTCATTCATCAGTTGATAAACTTAAAATGACAACCAGCTCAGGGGAAAATGACCCATTATTCTCAACCGAGGCATGCATTTGCATATTTTCTGATAAGGCCACTGTCCCGTGCTGAGGAGTCTTGTTTCATCAGGGGAGACCTATGATTTTGACATTTCTTTCCGCAAATATATTCACTAAACAAGATTTAATTCAAACCAAAAACAAAAAAAATCAAAATCTTATCATCGAGTTCTAAAAGGAATTAATTCAGAAGTAATACTATTTTCAGAGGTTGGGTGGAAGTAGATATGAATTGATACCAAACCAATACATTCTGAATATGAAAAATGAATGAAAGGATTTTCTCTTTTTTGAGAAAGAAATGCATCCATTGTGTTGATAAGGCATGAATGGTTTGAAAGCTATTTACTAAACTACTGCCATTTTGTCATCGTCATCGTCTGCATTCATTACAATTCACCTGCATGCATCTCTCGTTTGTTGCTTGTTTAATAGTTTTGTCTCATGTATAATTGCTTTACCGTGCTCTCCAGTCTCCACCCTGCACATATACTACTGACGGACCTCAGTACTGGACACCTTATTTCTGCATTCTTTTGAAATTAAATCCACACCCTTTGTACCTTCTCCAACCATTTCACCCCTTTCATTATATTTATGAATTGCCAGCCTTGGTTTGGTATATTTTTTAAAGAACCGTTTCAAGCAATATAATTAGAGTTTTGTAAACCCAAAATTAAATTTATTGATAAATAAATATTATCCCTTAGATTTTTAAGTTTTTTTATTAAATTTTTAAGTTTTATATTCAAAGAAACACATTAATTCTCTAAATTAATAAAATTTAAAAATTTTATAACTCAGATTGTAAACAAAGCTCTGGTTAATTTCCTATTGTCTGAACTGAATTCAGACAGCAAAGAAACAATTTTAGTTAAAGGGAAAATCAGGACCTCTACTCACTGCACGGTGACTCTCGTCAAATTAAAGCGAATGGAGCTCTGTCAACATCCCGAATCTAAGCGAGAATCTTTGGCTCTATTTTTGTGTCTCGTGGTCCGCCCACTGTTGGTAGTTCAGAGATTTAAATGCACCTCCACCCACATCGATTTACGTGGCCCTTCTACGCCGTATCTGTCTCTGCTCCGCCATAACCATCCTGCCGTGCCGTCCCACTTCTTTCTGTCTTTTCCTTTGGCCTTAGCACAAAACCTGCCCCCCGTTCCCCGCCGTACGCCGTAAGAGGTAAAAACTTCGTGGAACCTTGCAGTTATTTCCATTTGTGGATATTCTTGCTCCATTTTATTAGGCCCCCGGGGGCCGGGGCCACGGCTTATGTCTAGAGAGTAGAGACTTTAGACCAACAATAATTCATCAACACCAAGCTCTATTAAAGGCCCAATTCAAAGGGGCCCAAATCAGATTTCACGAAATTGCTTTGACGCTTTGGGTTTTAAATGATTGTAAATGCAATTGGTTACCATTAGGGCTGAGCATCGGGCATGAGTATATCTGATATTTGTAAGTATTTAACTTATTTGGATAGGTATTTTCGTATATGTGAAGTGATAGTTAAATACCAAGTATAAAAAATATATATATGTTAAGTATATGATATGTATTGGGTATAAAAGTAAATACCTGCATACTTGACCTATATACTTAACCTATATATTTGATTTGTATACCCAACTCATATATCTAATTATAGATTTATAATATTATATATATATATGAATGAATGGCGACATTGTATACTTATTTAATTACATTACCTATTGCCATGTCAACACTAATGTGACAATTCCTTGCTATCATGATTGGCATTGTGTTAGGGACACAATTCTCTGCTTTTATTCAACTTGATAAAATTGGATCCAATCCAAAAATTTGATATAATCCATTCGCTATGAGTAAGGTCATAGGTTTAAACTTCAAAGGTATCAATGTAGAATCATATATAATCTAGACCAAAATTACCCGAACTCGACTGAATTGGATCAGAGTTGAGTCGAATTAATTTAAAATGATCTGACTAAAGATAATTAATTTTTTAAAATTTTAATTGTAATTATACTTTTAACTTATAGTTATATATTAACTTATATATTTTTAGTGTAAAATTTAACAAATATACAAGTATGCCGTGGCTATACCTATACTTAACAAGTTAAGTAATGAGTATAAATTTTCAATATCCAGGTAAGTACTAGATATTGAAATCTTGTACCTATCACTGTTCAAGTTAAGTACAGATATGAACAAATACTTGACCCATACCTACCCATACTCACCCCTCATTACAATGTAGATATTATAAAATTATAATATGATGTGTAATTATATAATTAATTTTTTTTTATTTAAAAGTCTCTTTGTGCTCTTATATGCAACTATTTGCTTAATGTCATGTCAAAATTGAAATTTATAATCTTATATAATATTATAACTATATTATTTCTATTAAATGATCCATATGCTTTTCTTTCTTAGTAACCGGATAATAGACTATATTCTTTTCCCTTAATACACCTCTAACCCTCTCAAGATTTAAATTTAAAATCTCAAAATTTTAATTACTTCAAACATTGAGAACATTCATGTGCTTTACTTGTTCAGCAGAAATTACCGCTACATGAGAATGCGGCTAGACAATTAATGTAGTCCAACTAAAATAAGGTTGATTTTGCAGGAATGGCAACCTAAGAAAACATATATAAATGGCATTCTTAGGCAGCCAAAGCCTCTATTTGCACCATCCATTTATTTTTTTTTCACGATCAACACCTTTCAAATATTTTCCTCTTGGTCAACACCCTCCACTTTTTCAAACTTGTAAAAAAT